CGTCGTGAGGTTGAGCGGCTGCATCGTCGCCGCGTCGGTGAGCAACGCGACGTCGATCGTGTCAAAGGCCGGCCACTGCCGCACCGTCGGGTCGATGCTGAGGCAGAGCGAAATGTTGTCAAAGGCGCCCGACATGCTCACGCCCTGGCCCGGTCCGAGGAGCTGGCCGTAGACGAGACCGCCAGGCGTCTTGAGCACGAGCGGGTTGAGTGCTTGCGACGTGCAGTACGGCGCCAGCGCCAGCGTGTAGCTCGCTACCAGTGCCAGTGATGACCCATTCAAGAGCATGGTGAGATGGTATGTACCGATCGAGTAGGTCGAGACGCTGAGCTGCGCCGAGCCGTCGGACGCCGCGTCAAGACGGCGCCGGGCCGAGAGCGAGCTCGGACACGTGAGCGTCACGAGGGCCGACGTCGTGCCGGTCGGGATCGACGTTGAGCTGTTGCCGCAAAAGATTTGGCTCTGGCTCGTCAGCGTTGCATTGGCCGAGGCCGGCGTCGAGAAGCACGCGCTGTTGGCCGACCGACCGCACGCACACGCGAGCTTGCTCAGGACGTCCGTCATGCCATTGTACCTACATCGCATCTTAAGCCACCTGCCAGTCTTATCGTCGTTTGTACTGGAGAAGGGCCTTGGTCTTCTGAAGCCGCGCGACGCGCTTGGCGATCGGGCCTTGAAGCACTTGGCCGAGCAGCTGCAGCGACAGCGTCGGCTTGTACCTAACATTGCAATGTTGATATCGCGTCCATATACGGACGAGAGGGATGTACGCGTTGGCCGAGACGAGCGTCGTGCCGCCGGCCTGCCATGTGTACGCCTCGACGTACGCCGGTGCCCACACCCCGGACGTCCACGTATACCACGGCTTGAGACTGCCGCCGCATTTCGTGCACTGCGTGGCGTTCTTCATGCTTAGCGTCGTCGCGCCAGGCTCGAGACACCCGAGGGTGCTCACACACGCCGACTGCGTCGTCGCCGGCGTCACCCAGCTACCGCCCGCCGTCGCACACGCAGCAGCCGTAGCAATACCGTCGACGCGGCACCCGCGCGGGTGTACCTTCTCTGGCGTCGCACAGCCCGACCCGGACGCCGGTGCGACGCAGACACCGACTGTCGTCTGGCACTGGCTGCAGGTTGCGACCGAAACCTGATTGAGCCCGGTCGTGATCTTGGCCTTGCACGTATCTCCGTACGTCCAGCCCGCGTCCAAGCAGACCTTGCGCCGACCGTCGGGTCCGTCGTTGCACGACCCTTGCGATGCGCACGAGACGGCGTCGGTGCACGGTCCGGACGTCCACCGGCACCCGAGCATGGTCGCATATACGTCGGTCGTATTCACACACGTAGTGGCCGACGCGTAGCTGCTGCAGGTGCGCCACGTCGCGCTCGTCAGCGCCGCGCACGCCGTCGTCGAGTTGGCGCTCATGTCCATACACTAGTCCCGTGATATGTGAGACCAAAATCCAATTAGAGAATAGAAAAAGTACCGGAGTCGAGCTGTAGCCGAGGCTCGTGCAGTAGCTGGCGTCGGTGCTAAAGCAGGCAGCGCTGCCTTGGGCGGCCAACGGACTCGACGTCGGGACGGCGCACGTCGAACACGCCATTGTGCACGACGCCCATGACGACGACGACGTGCACTGCGCTGCGCTCCAGCCGTCGACGCGCGGACTCCCGACGCAGTTGCCTTCGGCGCACATGGCGCTCGTCGTAAACGCCCCGGGAAAGAACGTTCGTGACGCGCTCAAGAACGTGCCGCCAAGGGTGTTGCAGTTGGCTGCGGTCGTGACCGTCATGCAGATGCCGTGGCCGTTGGCGTGGTCTTGCAGCCACTTGTAGTTGGCAGTCGCCGTGCACGTCGCCGGTGTCGTCACCGACGGCAAATAGCACCCGCGTTGGCACGTGACTGCGCGGCGGGGGTACTGTGGCACGACACCAAACGGTGCGTAGAACGCGCCAACGTCGGTGGCGCTGGGACACACGTCGGACCGGAGGCAGTCGGTGCCGACCATGGTCGAGTTGACAATTGCGTTGCAGACCTTGGCCGTGGCATCCCAGTTGCCGCCCGCCGAGGCGCACGCATTCGACGAGCCGACCGCGAGGGTGCAGCTGGGCCACTGCGTCACGCTCGAGCACACATTACCCGCGCACTTGGCACAGAACGGCGTCGGGTCGGCGCAGTTGGCGGCCGCCACGAGCTGGTTGGTGCAGATGGTCGGTGCGAGGCACGCCGTCTCGTTGGCGACCACGGTTGTCGTGTTGCAGCAGCCGGCCGACTGTTGCGCCGCCTTGCACGACGTGCACCCCGCGCTGTGTCGACTGCAGCTGCTCAGACACGAGGCTACGTCCCAGCTACTGACTGTCGTCATGCACGCGAGCTGCACCGCGTTGCCGTTTTGAATGGACTTGAGCTTCCCAAAGCAGCACGCGCCGTAGCCGCCGCTCACAAACCACGTGCCGTTCTGCGCCGCACAGCACGTCGGGTCGGTGATCGTGTAGGCGAGCGCCGGCGCGGTGGGCGGCGCATACGAGCACGGAAAGGCTTTGTTGGTCGCGTTGAAGTACGCGTCTGGCGGGCAGCATTGGTTGCGGTTGTACTGGTCCATGTACCACGTGCCATTGGCGAGCGCGCAGCCACCCGCGGTCATGGGCAGCATGCACGTCGTCATGCACGCGGTCTGGTCCTTGCACGCACCGGTGATCGCGTCGAACGTGCACGCATACCGGGCGCAGGTGGACGCCGTAGCGCCGTACGAGGCGCACTGGAGCCGGCCGCCGTGCGCAATGCACGTGGCGTTGACGGAGAAGTCAATAAGCGCGCCTGCTTGCGACATGAGGAGGCTCATGTAGTCGCCGTCGTCGCACAAGGTGGCCATTTGGCACGTGGCGTTGCATGCGTACACTTGGCGGGTCGTGCCAATGCCTGGCAGCGTCGCGTACGGTCCTACACGACCGAGTGGATCAAGCTATCCGAAATGCAACGAGGTATCAAAGTCGTACCGACGCACTGAGGCACGGACGCGTAGGTGCCAAAGGCCGTCGCGAGCGCCGACGCCGAGCTCAGTGGCGAGAGACCCCACTGCGCTTTCGCAAAGCGGACCACGTCCGGGTCCATGTTGGCGCCAAAGCACTCGGCCATGCAGCGGTTCATTGCGTCGTACGGTACGCTGCACGTGCCTGTGCCCGTCGCCGGGTTCTTGAGGCA